TAAAAAATGCAATATTTGGAAATATTGAGAAAATAGGTAGTTATTATTAAAAGATCATTAAAGGATATATACAATTAATAAAGCAAAACTATATACACGATAGGAGGTCGGGTAAATTTGAAGTATAATCGCAATGGTCATAGTAACGAGATGGTCTTATCTAACGGAGATCCGTAACAGTAAATTTTAATGAATCATTCATCCTGACATGTGGACTCTCCCGAAATATCTGAATATCTGTTGAGTGAGGATGAAAGCCAACCTTAGCACAGCTTTGTAAATAAGGTATTCCTTGATCAGGTGTGAGAGAAAAGCACCCTGTTTCATTGTATTTCGGAGAACACACTACAGCAACAGCTTCTGGTAGCATTAATTGGTAGGATAATTGCATGTGCTGATCAACACTAGATAAGAATGCTGTTTGTGTAGGATGAGTGTGAATCCAACCAATTGGTATCAAGCAGGCTTGATCCATATAATCAAAAAGTTCCTCCTCATTCGTAGTAGTGCATGAATCAGGAGTGCCTTTCTGCTTTAATATCACTAAATCAGTAATGCGGAATTCATTGTCGATTAATCGCCCACACAGGTTTCCACATGTTTCTAGATTTCTTCTAGTGTTTGCCTCTGCTAAGCGAAGGAACTCAGTAGGTAGACTAATGGGCAAATGAACTGTAGCCCAGTCATATTCATTCCTTTCTGAAGAGTGCTTGGAGTAGACGGGTTTTAGTGAACGATCAACTTTAGGAAATGCGGGAACAGGTGGTAAATCTACATCTATGCATTCATCATTCCGATTGATGGGAAGAGTTGATAAATCAAGTACAGGAAACGATGGCAAATTATCGTTAAAAGTTGTAACAGGTGGAAGCATCATGGATTCTCGAGGATTGTGTGGCTGATTAATAGTCGAATTTGAGAGAATGTTAATCTCTTTTTGTTTCTTTTCGTGTTCAGCAGATTCTTGTTCATAAATGCCCAACAATTCGGTTTTTAAATTAGCAGCTCGTTTAAGCATTAAATTACATCTATCTTTCCACTCTTTTCGCTCGCTCTCAAGCATATTTTTGTATTCTATATGTTTGGGTAGCTTTTCAAGATATAATATAGCAAATTTCATTGCTAAAACAAAGGCCTTATCTAATTGCCCATTTTGTATAAACTGCTCAACCATATTGTGCATTGACCGACCTGCTATGTGATAATACTTAAGAGGAATGCCATCTTCAGCTTGCACAACTTCGGCACGCATACGAAGATCACGTACTCTTTCCTGTGGTGACTTTAAAGGAATAAATGAATCCCTATAAGTAAAAACAGAAAATGCTATAAGAGAGCAACCGATTTTTAGATGAATTGTTAATCAGCTACTAAGAAAAGATGGTTGAGTTAATATAAAAAATAAACGAGATAATAATATTCATATTTAAGTTTAGAAGTTATAGAAGAGCATTGTAAATAAGGCGATATAATAATAGGATTTGATTATACAGTTAGCTCAAAAAATCAAAACAATTACAAGTAATATAAAAGTCTTAAATATAAAATATTTATAACAACCTAAAAACGGTATGTTACAATAATAGTATATTTTTATTGACCTACTATCACATGCAAAATGTATGCAGACTATAGATAAAATGAAATATAAGTATTTAACATCAAAATAGAAATAAAAATTAGAATAAATTAAAAAAATTAATACATCATGCCGCTTTAAATATATAACATTCTTTATTATAGCCATATACAACTTGCCAACTTAGTGCCGTAAGGCATATTCAAAAAATTAAGAGTGCATATAGGAAATGTAAAAACAATATTAGGAAGATAAAATAGCATAAATGGATTTGATTTGTGTGGAATATAATAATATCGACCAAACAAAATGATTAAAAGAAAATGTGAAATATGTAGAGAAGATACATGAAGAAGAAGCATCCGAAGCTAGCACCTATCCAATGCAACAATAGTAACAAAGTGCTACTTGTACTGTATAATAATTAATAATAATAATAAAATAAGATCCTCATATTAACAAATATTTTTAGCAAAAAATAATATTTTACAAAATAATGATATGTTATAAAATTTACTACACTATTTTTATTTTTGTTCAAATATTACAAAATATGTGCTTGGTTTAGATACATTTATTCTAACTAATATTTTTTATAATGTCTATTCTTAATTTTTCGTAAATATATCATATACCTATGGCCCAAATGGTACTAATAACAAATACCAAAATATTAATTAATCATCAGCGTAGTCATTCTTAAATATATATACTTAAGAGAGAAACAACAAATCACTTTGCCCCATTCTAAGCAAATTATATCAGAAAATGGCAAATCTAGCTTGATTTTAAATAGAATTAACTTTTTAGCACACTTCAAATTTTTGTCAGAATTACTAGCTATAAGATGATGTAGCTTAACAAGAAATCCCGTCTGCGAATTCTGATAGGGATTCTAAAGAAAACAAGGTAAGATTTTAATTAAAGTTGATCCTGGATAATAACTACTTATCACGAAGTAAGTAAAAAATAATTTGAATTTAATTGAAAACAGAAAATGATACATTGATAAAAATTTTATTTTCAGGTATCCCTTCACATTTTTTACTTAAATGCAGTAAAAATATTAGCCGAAATTATGGGAAATTTTTATATGTAATTTCTTAATGACGAATATAACTTAGTGTAATGAGATGTATTCACCTTATTTCGTCTAAGGTGATGAAGGACTGGTAGTAGAATTTTTCCACAATGATATAATTTGAGCTGACGTTTTTCATATATTATTACATAGCCTTGGTTTCCAAAAAGTTGTTCTCATCCAGGGTGGACTGCAGTTTCGACCTCGCATCGGTCTTATCAACACCCTCAGCAGGACTAGAAACGCGACAGGTTATGACGGTTGCTAGACACGCTAACCACTCGGCTACACTGCAACGAGTACTCTTGAGTCAAAGGGCATAAGGTAATTTCAAGAAAGGCCAGACATCTTGTCATATCATATTCTTTGTTGGGAGTGCCGATGAAGCAAACGTATGTTTACTAAAGCAATCGACAACGTTACTTATATTCGTATTAGAGTAGGGTTTCGAAACTACCTGTAAATCAGTGTAAAGAGATGTATTCACTCTATTTCGTCTAAGGTGATGAAGGACTGGTAGTAGAATTTTCACAAAATGATATGAGTTGAGCTGACGTTT